TTTTAATTCATGGACTATTTTGTGAATATCTTTATGGAGAAATGATAATTGTAGGGCCAACTAGAGGTGTTGGAATTATATATAATGTGTGTGCACGATTTATAGCCATATCGTACTGCTACGAATGTGAAATTGCATTCATACAACAGTTCGACGGCATAATCGTGTGTATAAAAAAGAAAATCAAACACAGAGTCTCTAAACCTTTTCGTAAGAGGAACTACTTAGATTTAATTGTATGCAAACTAGTTTCTTTAAACACATAAAAATTGTAATTTATTTGTATTATCAAAATGTCTCAACAGCCTCTGCCACAACAAACTCTCCATCATCAATTGTGTCTCCAACATCAGCTCCTTCAAGTGAGTTTTGTTTTTTTAATTCATGGACTATTCTGTGAGCATCTTTATAGGGAAATGATAATTATAAGACCAACTAGAGGTGTTGGAATTTGACTGTGTTGGTATTAGTTTTGTTTTTATTCAGATTTAAATATCTATTAATGTTTAATAATGCATAACAAAAATTATTATTTAATATATCTACATATTCCAGCATCTTCTGCCAGTACAAACTCCACAACTCAAACAGCAGAACCTACAAGTAAGTAATATATACTGTATGCACATATGTTGTCTGAATAAATGTTATTCAACGTTTTACTGTTTGGGTGTCTATGTAAACTATAATAATTGTCACATAATAATCAATCACCTGCTAAATAGCAAACATTGGTGTCTTTAATATTATGAAAAATCCATTATGTTAAAAATAAGTGTAAGAAAGTTTCATTGCAATGCATTATTGTTATTGTATGTTTTGTAAGCATGTCAGCAAATATAAATAGCAAATAGCGTGTTCATATTTCTTCATCAAAATGTGTCAGCAGCCTCTGCCACAACAAACACTCCTTCAACTGAGACTCAAACATCCACAACTCCTTCAAGTGAGTAATTTTATTCGTGGACCATTGTGTCCATGGTATCATGGTAACTCACTGGTATCCTATTGTGCTTGTCATGTAACTGTTGCATTACCAAATTTGCCACTTTATGATTATTCTCATTTTTTTTCTATTTCTTAATACATCTAAATATTTCAGCAACCCCTGTCAGTACAAGCTCTTCTGTAACTGAATCTCAAACAGCAGAACCTACAAGTAAGACATATATGCCAGTTGCCTGAACACCGTTTCAGGAAAGTTTTAGCATTTTGCTGTGAATGTTAAAGCTTCTAAAAGAAAATTTCAGGATCTCCGAGTTATGTCAGAACGTCATTATGGGGAATCGCCAGATGACCCTTTAAATGTCCCCAGGCCGTTAATTACCAGAATATGGGAACATTTAGAGTTTACAGGGAGTCGTAAGGCAGTATGTTTGGAAAGTGTGCCAGTCTCATAGAGGAAGGATGCTACAGAGGCCACTATCTTCCCAAATGAGAAGACCCTGTGACAATACACAAATATGGGCTAGGCCTGATCGGGGAGCATTACATAGAATTAAGATGGTTAGCTGGTAAGGAAGACACGGGTCTGTCTGAGGAGGGGGAACTCACGCTGGCTGACTAATGCATATGGGATCACTGAGGTGGGATCAGACATATCTGGCACTGATCCCCAAAATATGGGTTGATCAAGCGAGTGTACCAGACAATGTAATGATCCAAGCATTCACTCCTCAAACAAGTCAAGTGTTGGGGGACTCAGAGGAACTCTTTAGGATTTGCCAGATGATGAACTTACTAGAAGAGTGGAGATAAGGCACTTGCATCACCATCTCCAGCATCTGCAGATTCGCTTGAATTACAGAGAGAGCGCAAAAGGGCATGAGAGTTGGTTGGGATGGATCTGGAAAGAGGTATATGCAATATAGCGAAGCGAGCCATAGCTATCATGTCCAGGCCATGGTCCAGGAAGAAAGTGGACCCAGGTCAACTCAGAGCATAATACTCATCTTTTGATGCCACGAGGGATGTCAGTGGAAGTCCATGGGAAATCACCTGGCAGATAGCCCCACTTTATACCTCCAATCCGCAAAGCAAAGGAGTTATCCGCTTTTGGCAGCACAAACTGCAATCTAAGCAAACAGACATGCCCCCTTTAGTGTAGCCTGAGCTGCTCATGAGCGCTGAGTTCAAATGCTGGACCCTCAAAAACGAGACGCAGTGACCGTGATTGGTATCCAGTGACAGGAAACAATCGCATCCAGAAACAGCACAGATAGTACAACATCTTAAAAAAGACGTATCTGCCAACCGTGTTGATCTCTTAGAGAAAGCTGCTCTGTTAGCTGCCCAGGGATAGGAGAAAAGACATAACTCGGAGTTCCTGATCTGAAGTGGAACTAATGTTTGTATTATAATCTTTGTAATAACTTGTCTTGCATTACTAAGTTTTGCTGTATACATTGTGTGTATTATTGTGGATATTGTGTAAAATTATAAATTTATTTCTTCATCAAAATGTCTCAGCAGCCTCTGCCACAACACACTCTCAATCAACTGAGACTCAAACATCCACAACATCTTCAAGTGAGTCTTTTCATTAATAGACTATTGTGTAAAGATTGTAGTTAAATTTTTGCTTTACTTACTTTTTCTTTATTTTTGATTAATTCGTTGTTGTTGTTCACTTTGGGATTGTAAATAAAAGCACACATTTTTTGGCATTACTTTGGTTGTCTTTCCACTCATTCACTGTTTATATAAATATATTTTAATTAAATAAATGTCAAACCCCACACCCTAGACTAACATCAGGGGTTTGTAACACACACGAAATGCACAATACGATTGCAGAAAGATTTCTGTCATAATACCTTATTTTTCATCACACAATTAGTGTGTAAATTTACAGTATCTTACAATATATAAATCTTAAAATAAGCCAAATTGGTCGTTATTTGTTTATTCATTATTCTTTTGATAGGTGAATCAGACTATTGTAGACAAAACAACTTCATTATCAGGTTGTTCTTGTGTGTTTTTTTTTTTTTATATGACAACACAAATAAATGAAGACACACCTAATTCCTTTAATTTAGTGCACTGAATAACATACAGATGGGAAACTAATACGCTTTATGCTTTTTAAATACTGTACGTCATAAACATATAGTTGTTCAGTTTGATCCCTTACGCACTTTTTTGTAAATCCATTAATGACTACCTGCAGTTATGAGTTATGTGCTGAAAAAAAAAAGTATATGATAAATCAATCAATCAATCAATCAATCAATCAATCAATCAATCAATCAATCAATCAATCAATCAATCAATCAATCAATCAATCAATTTCATGTATTACTATATATATATATAAATGTATATGATAAATCAATCAATCAATCAATCAATCAATCAATCAATCAATCAATCAATCAATCAATCAATCAATCAATCAATCAATCAATCAATTTCATGTATTACTATATATATATAAATGTATATGATAAATCAATCAATCAATCAATCAATCAATCAATCAATTTCATGTATTACTATATATATATATATATATATATATATATATATATATATATATATATATATATATATATATATATATATATATATATATATATATATATATATATATATTTTTTTTTTTTTTTTTAACAGTCAACAATTTCATTGCATTCACAGATGTATATTGTATAAAACTGTATTCGTCATATAATAACATTAACATTTCTTATGTACATGTTCTGGTACTCTTTGCTAAATTATGTGGTAACACTTTACACTAGGGTTCATTAGTTAATGCATTTACTAACATGAAATAATCATGAACAGCACTTGTACACCATTAATTAATCATAATTGAACATTTACTAATGTGTCATTAAAGGGCCATGACACCCCCCACTTTCGGTTAAAGTCTACTTCAGAATTCTTTCAAAAGATGCATGATTAATGGGCGTGGAGCTCCGCAAGCATCGGGCAGGAGTGGGCGTGGCCAGCAGGGGAGAACGTGAGCGAACGAAGTTAGCTCACAAAATGAAACAAACCATGAGGAGACGCATGAGTTTATAGTTTACAAAGTTAAAATGCAAAGAATTGAACAGTAATTTAATGCCCTGCTACATTTGTTATTCGTAATTTCATATACACATAACCACAATTTATATCATTATAAAGATAAGTGGGTTCATGTAAACCCTATAAATGAGCACTTCTCCCTCAATCCCCGTATCCAGCAGACTCAGTGCAGCAGGTCTCCTGACCTGTCTATTTTAACCATTTGCCCTGCTGGTAATCTGGAGGATTTAGGCAAACACGGCAGCACAGTGATGTGTCTGAATATGGACAAACTCCTGATAAAAGACAGCGTCCGCCATTTTCTAATTCTCGTGCTGCTCTCCCGACAAAAATGCTAGCAACACACACACAGCTTTGCTGTATGATCGGCCCTGACAAGATCGCGGGGGAAAACCCCGTGGATCATGGAAACAAACGCATATGAGCCTTCATGAACGGCTTGACTCTGGCAGGTCTGATGAGTAATTAAGCAGCCGGCTCTTCTCATAGGATAAGAAAACTCCGCTATAATAATAATGAGAAACTGACGCGTCATCATTGCACTTGCAGTACTGTGCTACGTCACCGATTTTGATCCCGCCCCAAAAATAATTTTAAACCCGGAAGCTGAAATTAGCTGACAAAAGCTCAAAATTATCCAGTTTTCCCCACAATTAAAGCTGACAGGTGCTAACATCGTTTTAACTTATGCGCAACACACACAAATCTGTTAATATAAAAAAAAAAGTTCTCCAGTGTGTCCTGAACCTTTAACATCAAAGTCCATGCTTGCTAACATTAGTTAACATGAACTAACAATAAACTATTTTCATAACTAACAGTAACTAACATGAACAAATACAGTAGTAAATGTATTGTTCATTGTTTGTTCATGTTAGTAAATTCATTAATTAACATTAACTAATGAACCTTATTGTAAAGTGTGACCAATTATGTTCCTTACATTTTTTTTATCTCAAAATTTCAGCATCTCCTGCCAGTACAAGCTCATCTACAACTGAGACTCAAACAGCAGCACCTATAGGTAAGTAATATATGTGTAAAGTTGTACAGTGTGTGGTACTCAGAATTAACTTTCCTTTTTTTAAATTCATCAATATTTCAGCACTGCCTTCCAGTACAAGGTCTATAACTGAGACTCAAACAGCAGAGCCTACAAGTAAGTCATATTTATATACAGTTGCCCGAACACTATTGTGCTTAATGTCTATTATAATAATCAGTAGTTTGGGTGTTTCAAATCACCTGCTGAGCATCAAGCATCCGTTTCTGAAATAATATAAAAAATGTATTGAAACAAGTCTATCTAATGTTTATATAAAAATTTGCATAATAACTTTACCTGCAGTGCCGAATTTCATTGTATGCAAACTTGTTGTTTTGTAAACTTGTGAACATACATACAGAAATCTAATCTAATTGCCATTTATTTTATCGCTATTTTTTCATCACAATGCCTCAGCAGCCTCTGCCACAACAAACTCTCCATCAACTGTATCTTCAACATCAGCTCCTTCAAGTAAGGAACTTTTGTTTTTAATTGATGGACTATTGTGTGATTCTTTATGGGGAAATGATAATTATAGAGCCAATTCAACTAGAGGTGGTGACATTTTACTGTGTCTGGTATTATAGTTGTGTAAATGTTCTACTCAGATCTAAAAATTATTAATTATTTTTTAGAGCATAAAGATATTTACTAAATTTTTTCAGCATCTCTTGCCAAAGCAAGCTTTTCTACAACTGCGACTCAAACATCAGAACCTACAAGTAAGTAATATATTATTACATTTGTCATTGGTTGTTAATGTAAATTAAAGTAAGGCAAGGCAAGGTGAGTTTATTTATATAGCACATTTCAAACACAATGATAATTCAATGTGCTTTACATGTACAAGAATAAAAGAAACAAGAAAATAAAAAGGATTCAAATAATCTTTATGTAAGATATTTCAAATCCTCTTCTAAATAGCAGATATAAGTGTATTTAAAGGTGCAGTAGGTGATCTGCCAGGATGCCAGCATTAGCATAATAGCTTAAATATTAAATAGCATACATTTTATGACCCTCACCTGCCGTCCTAAGCCATGCCTTCTTAAGTCATAACTCGTGAACGTGCACTGATTAGATATAACACAAGATCATGTCATTCACCAGTTAGAAAACTCCATGGAGACACGCACTTTATCAAGCGTAGTTGTTGACAGGCCAGCAGGTGCAGGGTTATATTTCCCCAAAACTGTATCATAGGCTGTCACTGTTCAAAAATGAACAAATGTGACCAGTAAAGCTGGTCAGGCAAGCACATTTACTTATGTTTTGTTCTTAAACAAAATAAAAATTAGATCAGAAAAAGAGCAGTTCTAAAAATAGAAATATCCTGTCATCTACATTACACTTATGCTTACATTACCAAGACAACAAGTGACTTTCATTTTCAATTGTGCTTGCTGATCCTTGTACATCGCTTGTTTACAGCTCCTTTTACACTTGAACAACTAAACGTATGCTCAGGTCTATTTAACCGACTATATTATCGATGTAAAAGGTACTCCATGAACTTGAAAATAGCCAATCTTTTGTTGAACGTGTTCCGTAGCTGAACATTACTACCGTGCATGTAAACCCATTCATAAACAACAACACAGTCTACATAAGCTTTGCATGGCAAAGCTACAGTTTTAATACATATCTGTTTAAGAGTGCTTTCACACCTGTGAATCGATTCATTTGTTCCGAAACAGGGATTAAAATGGTTGCATTGTTGCTCTTTGTTCTAGGTGCGGTTCGCTTTCACACGGCAAAGTTTCTAAACGGACCAAAATAGCTAAAGCTAGTCACGTGCGAGTAAAATCACCTCACATTGGTCAGAGTTTCTCTGTTTATTTTGCAGAGTCTCGCTCAGCTGTCAAGGGTGGGTTGTGGTTTGGTGTTTGACAGGTTGCGCGCGACGTGTCTGAAGAGCGAGGAGGGATGCGGTGGGAAGGGTTGAGAAGGTATTTAAGGATCGGAGGGGAGACGCATGATTACTGGGAGATTATCACTGGTTTGCAGGCATCCTGAAGTCTTTGTGCATTTGCGGGAGACTCCCAGAACTCCCAGGAGACTTGGGATGTCTGGAATGACCTCCTGCCCAATTCTCTCTTCTAATAGCTGTTTGCCTATTACATATCCATAAAACACTGTGATATAGCTGGGCTCGGATCATATTGCTTTCTTACTACAATCGATTGCTGGATTCATGTATGCCAAACGAACCGCGCTAACTGGGCAAACGAGACAGGTTCCGAAACAAAAGTCTAGGTGTGAAAGCACCCTAAAAGAAATACTCCAGCCGTTGCGTCATCATTCAGATTGTTGTTTTGAACTGCATAACATAATTTCCCCCCAGCATGCAAATGTAATTCCGATATTGATTCAGGGTTTAGAAAAGTTTTGATGCTGCATTTTTGGCAGAAGCTCTTTCAGAAAAGGCCCCATTGGTCTTTCAGAAAGAAGTTCAGGTTGATGCAGAGTTTGCAGGTTGACGTCTCTCTGTCAGCTGTAGATGTGTGCTCCACATGTATGCGTAAGTGATGTATCTGTCTGCCTAAAGAGGCTGTGCAGAAATTTAAATTTGTTCACAGATACCTGTCGTAACTGAGTTATTTGTAGGTCAGACGATATTTAATTGGATTATCATTTTTCTAGTTTTATGTCTTATCCAGAATATAAATTTACATATAAATCCATTTAGATCATTTACTTTAATCATTACTATTGGAATGTGAAGAGACTTTTAACCAGCATAAGAAAAAAAATTTCTGAGGACAATCACCTACTGCACCTTTAACAATAAGAAAAATCCATTATGTTTAAAGTTCCGTCTAATGTTTGTATTATAAGTATGTGTAACAAAGTTTCTTTGCAATGTATAACCTTATTGTATTTATTGTATGTTTTGTTAAGCATGTCAGCAAATATTTAGAACAGTGTGTTCTTATTTCTTCATCAAAATGTCTCAGCAGCCTCTGCCTCAACAAACACTCCTTCAACTGAAACTTCCACAACTTCTTCAAGTGAGTATTTTTATTTGTGGATAGTAGTGTGCAAATTGTAGTTAAACTTTTTTTTTTAAAGATTTTTCACTTCATGATTATTCTCAAATCTTCTATTTTTAATACATCTTAATATTTCAGCACCACCTGCCAGTACAAGCTTTTCTACAACTGAATTTCAAACAGCAGCAGCTACAAGTAAGCAATATATATGTATGTTCAGTTGTTTAACCATGATTTAGGGAAATCTTTACCCTTTTAGAGTACAAGTACAACAAGTATTGAGACCCCATACATCACTCTGTACTTGCAGCAGTCTGGGTTCAAACTTCTTTTAGGGCTTCTCCACACTGTAACTCTCCTGTGGGAAAGACAGTGAAAGTGGATCATCATAGAACAATACATCTTTCACATTGTCACTGCTGGCACCATTGCTGAAACCAATGTTTTGGAATGAGTTGCAGTGACGGAGTTGATTTGAGTGCCACAGGTGGATACTTTAGGCGAGAAGCAGCTGATGTGGGGAGCACCGACAGCTGAGTAGTCTTCTAAGACCGCCAGTAGAGCATGCTCTGTTTGCCCTTTCAAAGATGAAAACTCCTGTGCAAAGTCCCCAATATTGTCGCTGAACAGGCCAGCCTGTGATACGGGGGTGTCAAGAATGTGAACCTTGTCTATTTCTCACATATCAACCGGAGTTTGTCAAGGCAGCATTCCTGGTGGCATTTCTGACCCTGGCATCATCTGACCCTTGCCATCCTAGGGCATGAGCGGCTTGCTTAGAGAGCACAGTCAATCACTTTGCATAGGTCATGCATGACGCTTGGTGAGTGGCCATCCTCATGCAGCTCAAGCAGGTTGTGGTATATGACCATGGCATGCAGAGCAAGGGCTGCAGCAGTGTATGCTCTAGCCATGAGGGATGCAGAGAACTACACGCTTTGGACAGGGAGCTTTTGCTTACACGAGGTGGCTGCTATCTGTGGACAAGGTTGCCCATAATTGCAATCTCTGGAGGACAGCATCAAACCCCGAGAAGAGCATAAAGACCAGGTGACAAAAGTACCCTCCACGCCTGTACAAGCTCTCCATGAACCTCTGGGAGGAAGGGGATGTGGGGCCGTGAGGGATTTACTCCACTTTGCTTGGCCCTATAAAGCAATCATCTAATGGGTCTGGCTGCTGAGCTAGAGGCTCACCTCCAACCGAACCACAGAAGCAGTCTGGGAAAGTACAGCTATCATGTCGGATTCATGGCCCTAAGCTACGGCCCTGGAGGGCAGTGGACCCAGGTCTGCTCAGAGCATGATGACTCTCCCTCTGATGCCATAATGGATGTCAGTGGACCAGAGTCATCAGATGAGAATGCAGCAGGATGAACCGGCACAATCATCTAAAGCCTGAATGGTGTGTGCTTTTAAGGAGTGGAAGATCTACGGCAGATAACCCCCACTGCAATCCTTCGATCTCCCCGAGCTGCTCGTTGCATTGCGAAAAGCAGCTGAAGATTTTGCCACTTTTTTCAACGCAGACTGCAATCTAAGCACACTAACAGACATTCTCCCTCTGATTAAGCATGAGCTGCTCACAAGCACTGAGTCTACATGCTGGACTCCCAGACATGAGATGCAGTGACCATGATCATTATCCAGTGACAGGACACCATTGCATCCAGAAACAGCAAAGATAGTACAACATCTTTAAAAAGACGTGCTTGCCAACCATGTTGATCTCTTACGCTTGTTTCACACCGCAAGCGTCAATGGCGCAAGAGCAGAGCGTGTGTTTTCGGCGTCCATGTTAACAGATTAGAGCTTTCATACCGCACGCAGCAGCAGCGCGTCAGAGCGAGGCGTGAGCATCGCCGAAGCAGCAGTGCAGCAATAGTTTCGGCGCTGGGTCTATTTTTGACGCGCTGCTCACGCTCAATTAAAGTGATAGTGCATTGATAATGACCAAAACACATTGAATGACAGTAAAACGTAGCAATTTTACCCAATAAATGCATTAATAATGTCAAATGGTTTATATATAGTCAATCAAATGAACTTAAAATGATTAAAAACGGCAACAAACATTTATTTAGGCCCGAACTACAAAACCAAATGTAAAACAAATTTAGGATCAGTTTTGCTTAAGTTGCACACTAGCGTTGTAGGAGAGGGGAAATAGAATATTTACGGGATTTGTAGTCCATAGCGAAGTGTATTGTGGGTAGTGTAGTTGGACACGCATGCTGGATGTTAACTCTCTGTGTTCTGTGCAGTTGAGCAGAGGAAGAAAGTTTTAATCGGCTTTGTTTTATGTTCACTCGAGTTATTCCTACCGGGAGCTGTTTGCAATGTGAATATGACAACACGAAAATAAGTAAAAGAATAGCATGCATTGGTTACTTTTGTCCGTCTCATCCTCTGCATGAGCATGAATTAACGAGCTGTTATTTTGCCGCTGGACATCACTGAAGCGGGGAAAGTAACACTAGTTTGATCATGTATAAATATCATTATAACTATATTGTATAAATATTATTATAACTAGGTCTACAGGAACATGATAATCAAAAAACAAATGACATGATATCACAGGCGATTGTCTTCTGACGGACACTTCTCATATAAGTTAGCTTGAGAAGCATACAGTACTATTTGATCTTTAAAATTTGTAAAGTAAACATTTGCAGGTTAAAGAAACAGCATAGGAGGGGCCTTGGTGCAGATGAAAAGTTTAAGTGTATTTGTATATAGAGAGACATGGGTAACTAGATAGAATAGACAGAGATAGGTAGATCTCTGCAGCAGCTGCCGAAGAGCTGCACTCTGCAGACACAGCTGGTGTGAAAGGCAAACGCCTGCATGCTGCTACTGCTCGACATACGCGCTGCGCACACTCTGCTCACGTGCCGCTGACGCATGCGGTGTGAAACAGGCGTTCGAGAAAGCTGCTCTTAGCTGCCAGTGAAGTGCTCAGGGACAGGAGAGAAGACATAACTGACATAGCTTGCATTGCTAATTTTTAGACTTAGACTTAGACTTAAACTTAGAAAACTTTATTGATCCCGCAGGAAATTGCTTATGTAATGACTGCCATAACACACAAAACACAGAAACACAGAACCACAAGACAAAATAAATAAATTAAGTAAGCGAAATAAGTCACATAAATCCAACCAATCTATAAAAGGAAACAGCCACAATACATAAGTATACAAACTATTATATAAGATATTACACTTAAAAGAATCAGTGGTAACTAATACTATTAAGTCATATATCAAGTAATGAAAATAATATTAACCAAAACTAATAATATTACACATAAAACAATTACACATAAAATAATTCAAGTAGTAAAGTGATTCAGCACTCATTTAAAAACAATGATATTGCACTAAAAATATTTAAGACCCAGTAAAAAAACGTACAAATATTGCACCTAATAGACTATTGCACATCATAAAACATAATGCACAGACTTCCACACACTAAAACCCGTAATAAGTAATATGTGGCACGAGCAGCAAGGTATTGCATAGATTACTGTAAGGGTAAGTGACTGAGGGAGACGTTATGAAGTCTGATAGCAGTGGGAAGGAAGGATTTTCTGTGGCGTTCAGTGGAACACTTTAAGCTGGTAAGTCTGTGACTAAAGGTACTTCTCAGCTCGTCAACCACATTATGAAGAGGATGATCTACATTGTGCATAATTGACCAAAGTCTGCACAATGTTCTCTTTTCGGCCACAGTTTCCATATTGTCCAATTCCTCACCCACCACAGAGCCAGCTTTCCTAATCAATTTGTTAAATCTCTTCATATCTGCCACTTTTACACTACCACCCCAGCACACCACCGCATAGAAAATGGCACTGGCCACTACAGACTGATAGAACATACGCAACATGGTGTTGCAGACTCTAAAAGATCGGAGTTTACGTAGGAAATACAGCCTACTTTGACCCTTCTTATATGTGACCAGAGAGTTCTTGGACCAGTCCAGCTTATTGTCAATATACACACCCAAATATTTATAGTCCTGAACAATCTCCACATCCACCCCTCTAATGGACAAGGGAGTAACTGGAGATCGTCGTGATCTTCGCAAGTCCACCACCAGTTCTTTGGTCTTTTGGATATTAAGCTGCAACTGATTCTGAATTTTGTTGTATATATTGTGTATATGATTATATATTTTGTGCAAAATTGTAATTTTATCACTCTATCAAAATGTTTCAGCAGCCTCTGCCACAACATCTAACTCCATCACTTCAACAACTGAAACTCAAACATTTACAACTCCTTCAAGTGAGTATTGTAATGCTATATTGTTAACATATATTTCTTAAGTACATAATGTCATGGTACCCGTTGCTAAATCACGTCTCTTACATTTTTTAATCTAAATATATCAGCATCTCCTGCTAGCACAAGCTCTTCTACAACTGAGACTCAAACAGGAGCACCTATAGGTGAGTAATATATAATGTTTTGGGAAAAACAGTGCTTAGTCAAATTCACCTTTGTTTTTTCTTTTTTTGTCAAATGAGCAGCCTTTTCATTTGAAGAATGTACAGTATCTATAAGGTTTATAGGTGAAGTCATTGTATTCTAATAATTTTTGCTGTACAGATTTAATGGAAAGAAAAAGTCATTCTGTAGTACTCAAAACTTTACGTTTTCAATACATCATTATTTCAGCATCTTCTGCTGGTACACACTCTTCTACAACTGAGACTCAAACAGCAGAACCTACAAGTAAGAGTTATTTCTATACAGTTACCTGATCACTATTGTGGTTAATATCTATTATAATAATCAGTGGTTCAGGTGTTTCAAAGCACCTGTCATAAACATATAGTTGTTCAGTTTGATCCCTTACGCACTTTTTTGTAAATCCATTAATGACTACCTGCAGTTATGAGTTATGTGCTGAAAAAAAAATGTATATGATCAATCAATCAATCAATCAATCAATCAATCAATCAATCAATCAATCAATCAATCAATCAATTTCATGTATTACTATATATATGTTTTTTTTAACAGTCAACAATTCCATTGCATTCACAGATGTATATTGTATAAAACTGTATTTGTCCTACACTGAAAAAAAATATTCAAAGATGATTCCTTGGATTTACTCAATTCCTTTATGTTAAGAGGTGGTAAACAATTTATTTGGGCTGAATTTAAACAAACAAATTAAGTTTAACATTACTAAACTTATTTTGTTTGTTTAAATTCAACACAAACAAACTGTTTGCAACAGTTCTGCATGCAACACTTTTTTCAGTGTATAATAACATTAACATTTCTTCTGTACATGTCCTGGTACCCTTTGCTAAATTATGTGGTAACACTTTACACTAAGGCTCATTAGTTAATGCATTTACTGACATGAACTAATCATGAACAACACTTGTACGCCATTTATTAATCATAATTGAACATTTACTAATGTATCATTAACATCCAAGTCCATGCTTATTAACATTAGTTAACATGAACTAACAATAAACTGTATTTTCATTAACTAACAGTAACTAACATGAACAAATACAGTAGTAAATGTATTGTTCATTGTTTGTTCATGTTAGTAAATTTATTAATTAACATTAACTAATGAACCTTATTGCAAAGTGTGACCAATTATGTTCCTTACATTTTTTTATCTACATATTTCAGCATCTCCTGCCAGTACAAGCTCTTCTACAACTGAGACTCAAACAGCAGCACCTATAGGTAAGTAATATATGTGTACAGTTGTACAGTGTGTGGTACTCAGAATTAACTTTCCATTTTTTTAATTCATCAATATTTCAGCACTGCCTTCCAGTACAAGCTCTATAACAGAGACTCAAACAGCAGAATCTACAAGTAAGAGTTATTTCTATACAGTTGCCTGAACACTATTGTGGTCTATATCTATTATAATAATCAGTGGTTCAGGTGTTTCAAACCACCTGCTGAGCATCAAGCATCCGTTTCTGAAATAATAGAAAAAAAAAGTGTTGAAAGCAGTTCTATCTAAATGTTTATATTAAATGTGTACATGTTTGTATAACTTCTCTTACAGTGCGGAATTTCAATTTCTCTGAAATCTAATGTAATTATCATCTTTTTTATTTCTTTATTTCTATTTTTTTCTTTAAAATGTCAGCAGCCTCTGCTACAACAAACTCTCCATTAACTGTGTCTTCAACATCAGCTCCTTCATGTGAGTGTTTTGTGTTTGGTTTTATAGTTGTGTAAATCTTTAACTCAGATTTTAAAGTTATTAATTATTTTAACAGTGCGTAAAGTTATTTTCGAAAATATTTCAGCATCTCCTGCCAGTACAGGCTCTTCTACAACTGAGACTCAAACATCAGAACCTACAAGTAAGTAATATATTTATAAGTACAGTTGTCTTTGTCTGTTAGTGTCAATTATAATTATCATTATTTCAGGTATTCCAAATCACCTTCTAAATAGCAAACATTAGTGTCATAAGTGCAATGCATATCCTTTCTGTATTTATTGTATGTTTTTGTAAGCATGTCAGCAAATATTAAGAATAGGTGCTTAGGTTTTGCTTGTTGGGAATAAATTAACACTCTCCAATACTGACAGCTTTTCTCTTTCTACTGATGACTGTTCCATTTATCCCTCCAAACAGGTTAAGAGTCTTGGTGTCATCCTTGATAACACCCTATCTTCTGATTCTCACATCAATAACATCACTCGGTCTGCTTACTTCCACCTACGCAACATTACCCATCTCTGCCCTTCTCTTACCCCTCACGCCACTGCTGTTCTCGTCCATAGCCTTGTCACATTTCGTTTAGATTACTGCAACTCCCTTCTCTTTGGTCTCACTCATAAATCCCTCAGTAAGCTTCAGTTGGTCCAGAACTCAGCTGCCCGTATCATCACCAGAACCCCTTCTTCTTATCACTTCACCCCTGTTCTGCAGAAGCTTCATTCGTTACCAGTAAATTTTCGAATTAATTTAAAAATTTTGATGTTAACATTTAAAGCCATCCACAATCTCGCCCCTTCATATTTGTCTGCCCTCATCCACATTTCTGTTCCTTCTCGCACCCACCTCTTCTTCCCCTCTCCACTTGGCTGTTCCCTCTGCTCGTCTATCTTTCATGGGCAACAGAGGGCTTTGGAACTCACTACCACCTGCCATAAGAAACATTGACTCCCTCACACTATTCAAATCAAGACTCAAAACCCACTTATTTAAGATGGCTTTTATTAATTAATTAATTTTACCTGCACTATTGTTATTATTTCTCTTGTTGTTTTATTGCTCTTGTTTATTGTACGGTGTCCTTGAGTTGCTAAAAAGGCAACTTTAAATAAAATGTATTACTATTATTATTAGTTTGTTCATATTTCTTCATCAAAATGTCTCTTCAGCTTCTGCCACAACAAAAATTTCTTCAACTGAGACTCAAACATCCACAACATCTTTAAGTGAGTCTTTTCATTAATAGACTATTGTGTGAACAATTTAGTTACATGAAAAGGATAGCAGAATGATTCCTGTCATAATCTTATTTTTTGATTGTTGAATCAGACTATTGCGTATAAAACAACTTTATTATCAGGTTGTTCTTGCGTTGTTGCTTTTTTTTATATGACAACACAAATAAGTGAATAAGTACCTCCTTTATGTATTCCTTTATTTTTGTGCTCTGCATAACATACAGAAGAGACTAATATGAAAGAGATTTAAATACTGTCAAACTGTACGTCATAGATATTTTGTAAATTACTTTATGACTACCTGTAGAGTCAAGTGCTGAAAAAAAATGCAGAACATGTATCTGATCAATCAATCATGCAATTTACAGTCCATTTCATATGTTGCCATATTAAGTTCTATTAGACAAGATGTATATTTACAAAGTTATATTCCATTAACAGTACACAATGTCATGGTACCCTTTGTTAAACTGTTTCTATTTTTTTTAATCTAAATGTTTCAGCATCTCCTGTCAGTTTAAACTCTTCTATAACTCAGTCTCAAACAGCAGCACTTATAGGTAAGTAACATATACCGTTATCTGATCACTTTGTTGGGAAACTTTTTCAGTTTTACTATTTTACATTTAGCATAGCCCAAGTATTTTGTGCTAATGATGTATAGTAATGTACAGTGCACCCGGAGAGTATTCACAGTGCTTTACTTTTCCGTCATTTTTTTAATGTTACAGCCGTATTCCAAAATGTATTAAATAATTTATTTCCTCAACATTCTACACACAATACCCCATAATGACAATGTGAAAAATTTTCATGAAAGTGGTGCAAATTTATAAAAAAAATAAAAAAAAATGGAAAAATTACATGGACAAAAGTATTTACAGCCTTTACCGTGAAGCTCTAAATTGAGCTCAGGTACGTTCTGTTTCCACTGATAATTCTTGAGATGTTTCAGCAGCTTAATTGGAGTCCACCTGTGGTAAATTCAGTTAAATTCAGGTAAATTCAGTAAATTTAAAATCAGAACATGATTTGAAAAGGCACACACCTGTCTATATAAGCTCCCAGGGTTGACAGTGCATGTCAAAGCACAAACCAAGCATGAAGACAAAGGAATTATTTGTAGAAATCTGAGGCAGGACTGTCAAGAGGCACAAGGCTGGGGAAGCTTACAGAAACATTTCTGCTGTTCTGAAAGTTTCAATGAGCACTGTGGCCTCCTTCATCTGTAAGTGGAAGATGTTTGGAACCATCAGGACTCTTCCTAGAGCTGTCCAGCCATCTGAGCTGAGTGATCAGGGGAGAAGGGCCTTAGTCAGGGAGGTGATCAATATCCCGATGATCATCGCTCTGTGTGAGCTCCATCGTTCTGCTGTGGAGAAAGGAGAACCTTACAGAAGGACAACCATCTGTGCAGCAGTCCACCAATCAGGCCTGTATGGTAGAGTGGCCAGACGGAAGCCTATCCCCGCCTGGAATTTGCCAAAAGGCATCTGAAGGACTTTCAGACCATAAGAAACAAAATTCTCTGGTCTGATGAGACTAAAATTTAACTCTTTGGAGTGAATGCCAGGTGTTACATTTGGAGACAACCAGGCACTGCTCATCCCCAAGCTAATACCATCTCTACAGTGAACTATGGAGGTGGCAGTATCATGCTGTGGGGATGTTTTTCAGCAGCAAGTTCTTGAAGACTGTTCTGGATAGAGGGAAAGATTAATGCAGCAATGTGGACATCCTGAATGAAAACTTTCTTCAGGGTGCTCTTGACCTCAGACTGGGGCGAAGGTTCATTTTCCAGCAGGACAATGACCCAAAGCAAAAATTCAATGGAGTGGCTTCACAACAATTCAGTAAATGTCCTTGAGTGGCCCAGCCAGAGCCCAGACTTAAATCATATTGAACAACTCTGGAGAGATCTGAAAATGGCTGTACACCATCACTTTTCCCATCTAACCTGATAGAGCTTGAGAGGTGCTGCAAAGAAGTATGGGCAAAAATTCCCCAAAACATGTGTGCCAAGCTTGTGGCATCATATTAAAAAAGCCTTGAGGCTGTAATTGCTGCCAAAGGTGCATCAACAAAGTCTTGAGCAAAGGTTGTAAATCAAAATTAGAATCTGTACATGTGATTTTTCAGGTATTTTATTTTTAATAAATTTGCAACAATTTCAAAAAATATGTATTTAGATTGCCATAATGGGGTATTGCGTGTAGAATTTTCAGGAAATAAATTAATTTAATTAATTTTGGAATAAGGCTGTAAAGTTGCAGATGAACTGTACATTTGATTAACTAAAACATGTATTACACAAACTAACATTTTTTAAAACGTTGACCCCTCTGATGGTCAATGTATAATTTGCACACTGATTGTGGCCCAAAAAAGTGTGGTAAAGTATTAATATATGTATTTTTATATCTGCTATAAAGAAGTCAGCCAAATGAACCTTTATTTTTAATGCATCTAAATATTTCAGCATCTGCTGCCAATACAAGCACTTCCACAACTGAGTCTCACATAGCAGAATTGACACGTATGTAAACTGTACAAGGTTTAAACTGTTGCATCAATTCACAATTTATTTGTACACAAAAAAAAAACATCCTTTTAAGCATTCACTATATGACGTAAATTTTATTTCTGTTTCTACCTTTAATATTTCAGCGTCCCCTGCCAATTCAAGTACTTTTCAAACATCAGGACCAACAAGTAAGCATTGCTGTATTGTCGTTGTTTGAACACTTTGTTAGAAACGATTATACTGCTGTTGTTTATTGTAATAATCAGTACTACATGTATTTCAAATCACCTCCCATCATGCATCAGCTTCTGCAGTAATATTAACAGTGTGCACTGTTTACAATTATTATGTGATGTTTGTTAAAAATAAGTTTAATGACATTTTGGCATTTGAATATTTCATTGTATGATAAAAATGTTTCTGTAAGAATCTGAACAAATATTAATAAAAGTGTCATTCTGTGTCTTCATTGATCAAAAATTCCCAACAGCCACAACAAACTATTCTTCATCTCAAACACCAACTTCTTCAAATGAGCTTTTTTTTTTTTTTTTACACAACTTAATTTATAATTAACTAGAGGTGTTGAAAGTGTTTGTCACAAAACAGTCACACTGTCAGATTTTCCAGTACACTGAAATAATGATTTCAAAACAAAAAAAACTCAGCACATGTGAATAAACATCAACCCTTTACAGTTCTTGCAATTTTTATCACATCCTCAGCCTTTTGTTATTATTGCTTTTAATAAATTAAAATATTTCAGCCAGTACAATCTCTTCTACAACTGAATCTTAGAAAGCAGCACCTACAAGTAAATGATGTATATGCAGAGTACCTAAACATAATTTTTATGGTTCTGCTATTTTACTGTTGATGTACATTGTAATAATCATTGCAAATATTAAGGGCGTTTTGATTCCGTTTCTTCATTCATCAAAATTTCCCAGCAGACATTGCAACTACAAACTCTCCATCAACTGTGTCTTCAACATCAGCTCCATCAAGTAAGTTTTTTTAAATTCTTTATTCATGGACTATTGTGTGAACAATTTAAATGATTAAATTTAAATGATCACTGTACACAGTAGGTCCAGCATAGTTAAAAGTGTTGGAATCCTACGGTGCTTATATTAGGGCTGTAATGACATCATATTTGGGATTTACTTATTTTAAAACGTGTACATTTTTACAAAATTTGGCTCAGTTGCTTATGTCGCAGACAAAAGTGAAGACCGGGGGTGAGGGGCATAAGGGGGTAGGGGTTCTATAGTGGATGAAAGTGGTTGGGTCCCCTAATAGTTACTCTGGGGGCCCTAAATGGCATGGAGCCTTAGAATCGCCCTCATCCGGGTTGGTGGTATGGTATGGTGGGGTGGGGGATGGGGTGTTTGGACAGGGGTCAGTCGTGCACTTATGTTGCAGACGAATTTAAAGACCAGGGAAGGGGGGAGGGATGGCTGTCATAGATGAAAGTGGTTAGGGCCCCTAATAGTAACTCTGGAGGCCCCAAATGGCATGGAGCCTTAGAATCGCCCTCATCCGGGTTGGTGGTATGGTATGGTGGGGTGGGGGATTGGGTGTTTGGACAGGGGTCAGTCGTGCACTTATGTTGCAGACGAATTTAAAGACCAGGGAAGGGGGGAGGGATGGCTGTCATAGATGAAAGTGGTTAGGGCCCCTAATAGTAACTCTGGAGGCCCCAAATGGCATGGAGCCTTAGAATCGCCCTCATCCGGGTTGGTGGTAATGGTGGGGTGGGGGATGGGGTGTTTGGACAGGGGTCAGTCGTGGACTTATGTTGCAGACGAATTTAAAGACCAGGGAAGGGGGGGAGGGATGGCTGTCATAGATGAAAGTGGTTAGGGCCCCTAATAGTAACTCTGGAGGCCCCAAATGGCATGGACCCTTAGAATCGTCCTCGTCCAGGTTGGTGGTATGGTCGGGTGGGGGATGGGTTGTTTGGGCATGGGTCAGTCGTGGGCTTATGTTGCAGATGAAAGTAAAGTCTAGGGAAGGGGGAAGTGGTGGCTTTCATAGATGATAGTAGTTAGGATGGGGTGTTTAGTCGGGGGTCAGTCGTGGCCTTATGTCGCAGACGAAAGTGAAGACCGGGGGAGCAGTGGCTGTCGTGGACAAAAGTGGTTGGGAAAACAGAGTGGGCCCTTAAAATCGTCTCTGGGGGCACTCATGGTTCTGTGTGTTCAAAACAATAATGACTCCTGAGTGTCAAGCATGTACCCCGTCAATAATATGAACAATGTTTCTCATTTAAAATTTGTATTTTTTTTATATAATTTGTTTGTGTAATAAGATTTCTTGCAATTTAGAATTTCACTGTGTACCAATATGGTATTAAGAATTTACTATAAAACTTAAATAATGTCTGTTTCTACCTCTAAATGTTACAGCGTCCTATGCCAGTACAAGCACTTCTGAGTCTCAAACATCAGGACCTACAAGTAAGCAATGCTGTATTTTATGTAGTTGTTTAAACACGTTGTTAGAAACATTTTAACATTTTTCTGCTGTTGTTTATTGTAATAATCAATGCTACATGTATTTCAAATCACCTTCTGTCATGTGTTCAGTAATATTAACAGTGTGTACTGTGTTACAGCACTTATGTGATGTTTGTTAGAAATTGGTGTAATAACATTTAATGCAATTCAGAATTTCATTGTATGAGAAAAATGTTATATGAATGTCGACAAATATTAATAAAAGTGTCTTCTGTCTCTTCATTGATCAAAAAATTTCCAGCAGCCACAACAAACTATCCTTCATCTCAAACACCAACTTCAAGTGAGCATTTTTATTGGACTATTATGGAAACAGACAAAAAAAGTAATTAATTAGGTGTCAAAATGTTTGTCACAAAACAGTCACAATATCTGATGTTCCACTACACTGATATAATGTTCTCAAAACGCAAACACTACAATATAAACAATATAATGTCATTGTATTCATTGTCATTGTTGCAGAATGTGTGTTTACTTGTTTAAGTAGTAGTCATATTCCATGAACATTTCTTTCAGTACAGAATTCCATGGCATGAAACAGAAAACAAACAAACAAAAAATAAGCATTTCCTATTTTACTTAAATTGTTTTTTATGAACCTAAATATTCCAGCACCCCCTGAAAGTAAAAGCTCTTAAACTGCAGCATGTACATGTCAATAATGTATATGCAGAGTTTCTAAACCTATATTTATTATCATTTTAGTAATCTGTGCAAATATTATGAAAATTGTGATTCTTTTTCTTCATTCATCAAAACTTCCCAGCAGCCAGTGCAACGGCAAACTCTACTTCAACTGCATCTCCAACATCAACTCAAACAAGTAAGTTTTTTTTATTATTTATGGACTATTGTGTGATAATTTCAATAAAAAAAAAAAAAAAAAAAAAAAAATATATATATATATATATATATATATATATATATATATATATATATATATATAGCTAAATTCTGAAAAGTGTTGGATTCATATTGTATTTGTATTAGGATTGTCATGATAACATATATTTTAAGGGTTCTATTCATTTTTAGAATAAGACAAAGTAGGACAAACAGAAAACAATTATATCTATTTGTCTCTAAATATCATCCACACAAGTATATTGTGACATCCATAAATAATCCTGACAACCATATTTAATTATTAGAATATATATTTCAAAAACAATTGAAATAAGGAAGTTGTAACAAGTGACTGGTAAGATACACTATCCAGTGGGCCGACTTTTGCTTGTAAATAGCACACCCCCTCTGCCAACCTAGTGGGGTAACCACAGCTGTGGAAGCCTTATGTCCCAGAACCCTCAAGAAAAATGTACAGTGATATCACATTCTTCCTGCTGAGCAATATAGAAACTTGGCATGTTGGGTGGTGAGATGTGCCGTCATGGTAACCAAGTTAAGCTCCATCCCAAAAAATGTTCTGCATAGGGGTGACTGCTATTATTTTGGCTTCCCAAAGGCAAACTGGCTAAGGTGCTGAAACACCATGTCCCTCTACATCAGGGGTCACCAATCTTTATCCTGGTTGTCCTTGTAAAGTTTAGCTCCAACTTGCCTCAACACACCTATTTGGAAGTTTCAAGTAAACCTAAAAAGATCTTTAATATATAGTCTAGGATTTGACTAAGGTTGGAGCTAAACTCTGCAGGACAGAGGCCTCCAGGAACACGTTTCGTGAGCCCTGCTGTACATCATGAGTTGATCCCAAGACTTTGGTAGAATAGACCAGTGACTGTATAATTGAGAATGCAAATGCCCAATAAGCACACTCACTTTGACCATGATAAAGACTCATAGGACAGCTCTAAATGGAGGACCTTGTACTTCTTTGCCCAACCCTCAAATGCAAACCGAAGAAACTGGCTGTAAATAAATTCTATGGACAAATGAATCAAAAGTATGTGCATCTGTGTGAGCATTTTGATTGATATCTTGTGCAAAAAATTAAAAGTGTGGAGATCCTGGATTGATCATAACAAGATCTTATACAAGAGATGGGCAGCTGTGAAGCCATGGAGGTGCATTACATGCCCCCGAACTTGGTAGGCCGTGTATAGAACTGAATCGAAGAGCTGAGTCGGATCATCTGAATGAGCCATCAAGGCTGTCAAAGCCCATGCAAGAGGCATAATTGGGTTGATTGCTGACATACACCTGTCTTGGGTGACAGCACATCCTGAAGTGTATTTCTCAGGTGTGTGGGCAGAAAAACAGCATGTCTCTCACTAGCAACCCTCAAGGGTTCATACCCAGAGATTGGAAAAGCTTCTCTTGTTTTGAGAATGTGGGTTCTGCCAGCTGTGAAGCCAGTGATAAAAGGTAGTTGGAGAAACGATGGTTTGTAACTGGCCCTTTACTGAGGACAGAGCAGCCATCCGTGCCTCTAGATGGCCTGTCTCAGGGATGCTTTATGGTCAATTTGCTAGACTTAGCAGTGCCCTGGTATAGGGGCATTTGCTTCTTGCAGCAAGCTCAACATAAAATGTACTGTACAATGTAGAGCTCTCCTGCTGTGGGGGAGGTGGAATAGCCCACATATCTACCAGGTTCAGCTAGAGGTGGTGTTCCTGAATCGCTTTAGTAGCCAACATTCTTTTAAGTTGTCATAAGTGCTTAGTTGGTAGCCAAGTTTGGACCATAATGATCACTGTGCATAATCTCTGGGAAAGGACCTCCGTCATGCAGCTGCACCACTGCCAGGTAAGTAAACATTGAAAGTAAGCCAGGTAAGTGGCCATACAGTAGCATGCCCGGTGGAAGTAGTCTGGCCCTCTTGAACATGCTTTGGACCTATTAAGATCTATCGTGCCCCGGAGTGATGTCTTGCAGGCAAAAACTGAACAAAATTGC